ATCAGCTACCAGACTTTCTTATGGAAGGGCTTTCTTTTGAATGATGACCTCATTCCAAATTGTAAATCTGAGTTTGATTGTCTCAGGATCATTCCATATAGGTTCCTTGCTACTGCTTCCTTCAGTATTGTCAGGCAGAGGTTGCTCTCCAAGCAGCCAGCTTCCTTTGCCAGTTCAAGGATTGTGAAATCCTTCAGGCTGAGTGATTGGCTGAGGCCAGAAGCAGGAGAGCCAGATTGCTAGTGACTGGATCAACAGTGTCATATATGAGTATTGGCTTTGATAGGTTCAGATAGATAGAGCCATATATACAGCTTGCTTTGGTGCCATGGACAGTGTCCACAGCATTGGCTGGATGTCAAATTTTGACTTGTAAGCTAGTAGATTGGCTAACTGGTCTTTAGGATGCCTTCTGTTGTAGACATCCACCATATGTTTTATAGCTGCATACTATAAAATTTCCTGCCATTTCAGCTGTTCTATATTAATATATTGTTGTTCTAAAGGCAATATAAGTCACTTGGTATCATGCTATAGAAATGTTACCCTCTTCTCATAGAGGTCCTGATACTCTCCTTCTCTATTCTTTTGTATTTCCTTTCTTAATGCTTCTTCATCAATGTCCTCTTTTGTATATTTCATGAAGTTCTTGAGTCAATAGGGGCCTTCACTGCTGCCCTTGTTCTCAACCATGCTGCTCTCCTCATCATTCCTGAGGAGGGAAGCAATGGGCTGGTCAAAGATATTCACCTCAGAAAGTCTAACTGTCACCAGAGAGCTGGCTGCACTAGATGCTAGATCCTGTCTTGGTATTTCCATTGACTGGGGATGTGCATACTCAGAGACTGGCTCCAATTTCAACATCATACTGAGTCCTGCCATGTGCTCATGCTGCCACCAGTTTCTTGCAATAAATTTTGAAGTTTCTATAGAACTCTGAATTGAAAAACTATCTAGCAACTTAGCTTCTGAGGAATCTCCTGAGAATGTGGTCAGAGATATGGGCATTAAGAGGTACTCATAGCCTGTAGAGGTCAAGAATGGACTCTGCATCCAAATGGGTGGTGTCAGCACTGAGAATTCATGGAGAGGGAGTATTGTTTCTTTGGGGAGGAGGAGTATGGTCTCTTCTTATAGCTTTACTGAGAGTGACAGGACTATAAGGTTCTGCTCATGGGTCAGTTGAGGTACTGGGCTCTCAGAAAGGAGAGTGAGTGGACTCCATTCAGAGTCTATATCTGCTGAGGGAGGCAGAGCTGAAGTGGACAGCCTCATTTTCATATTCCCACTATTGTCTCCTTCTATCTTCTTATTTTTCTTTATATACTCACTGAGCTTCAGCTTAAGTATACTCAGCAAGTTCTTCTCAAGTTTGCTCAGGATCAGTCTGAGCTTGCTTCTTCTATTGCTGCTGCTGCTGTTGAACTGCTGTGTCATAATTAAATGAGACTTGAAGGTCCCAGTCTGAGAATATTCTTTGGATAATTCTATCTCAGGCTGCCTCTCTTCATTGTCTGATTTCTTCTTATCTCTCTTGGTCATTGCCTATCTCAGAGCTATTGTGGCTGCAGGACGATGCAGCAGAGGGTGTTTCAGTCAGGATAGCATAGAGTGACTTGTGTCCTGGGTTTAGTGAAATACTTCAAGATCTTAAAGCCATCCAAGGGGCATCAAGAGAGTCTTTAGTGTGGTCTCCAATGCCAGGTGCTCATATAGTGGAGGAAGAGTCAGGAGACAGCAAGTCATTAAAGAAGTTTATGAGGAGGTTCTCATTCTTTTGGTTAGAGATGAGAGATAGAACCTATAGGTTCCTGAACTCTATGAGGTGATTGTCATTATTTCTATAGAGTCATTAGAGTTGAGGGAGATATTAGTGCTCCTTCTCTTCCTAAATATTTTCTGAATGTGGGTTGCTAGGCCTGGCTTCAGGTATGGTTCTTTCCTCAGGCTGAAAGGAGGGTTGGAGGGTATGAGAGATGTCATGGAGGGGTAGATCAGAGGTTACATTTTGTAGGATGCATCTAATGTTCTGAAATTTCTGATAGTGTCTAACTACTCAGATAGTGATTGATTGGCATTCTCAGCACAGCTGAATGATCACTAATAATTCTAATAGCATTCCAATGATAGAAGCTAGGAGATCAAAGAATTCTCAGTCAAAGTTGAAGGAGTTCAGGTTGATGGATGGCATTTAGTTTCCTCCATATTATTGTGCATGAAGAAAGAGAAGTTGAAGCTTCAAGCTAATTGTTAAACCCAAGCTGCATATAATCTTAGACACATGATAAACTGATGTTACTTTGCATTTTGAGTGGAATGTCAGAGTTCACTATATATGACTATAGATCAATATGCATCAAGGCTTTTAGAGTTGGCTTGAGAGTAAAATAGTATAAAGATAAACTTTAGCTCAAAGCTGGAGTGTACCAGCAAGAGCTATTCTACTTATATACTACAGAATATTCTACTATAATTATAACTATCTATTGTGTCTGTGCTTGTTGTTATGCCCTTTGTCCTTGAGCATCATTACTACTTACAAAAGATTCTTTATGCATTATTGAGCATTAGTATTGTATCAAAAGACAATGACTGACTAGGCTTGTTATGATGACTAAGCCTGTCCCACAGTTCTAAATGCTGAGCTAGATGCTCTGACTAAGCATAAATAGGGGTTAAAGGCAAAAGAAAGTAGAAAAATCATAATACAGACCCATTCAGGTACTATCTCTTTAAATGTCTTTTTCTCTCTTTCTGCATTGGCCTTTGCAGCCAAGTTATTAGCATGATGTATTGCTTGTTACATATTCATAGCAAGAATAGTTTCACTATCCTCCATCTTTTTATCTCATTGATCATCAGGATCTTCATCCAGCAGTTCAAACAGAATTTTGCAGCATCAGCATTGTACAAACATGATCTGGCCAGTTTTTCAGTTAACAAGTGGGTTGTATCAGATGAGCCAATCATGACCAAGGAATACCTTCTTAGTCCTTAAGTTAGTGATGGCCAAGTTGATTCACTCTAAATGATCACTGATAGTGAGTCATAATTTGATAAACTCTATAATTGAGCTAATCTGATTTTTGGTTCTGTCAGCATTATATACTGAGATAGAGACAGCTGTTGCTTGAGTGAAAAGTTTATGCTTGTCAATGAAAGCTTGATTAATAGAGCCCTCTATACAGTCACTGTCAATAAGGACAGTTACTACATATGTGCATCAAGATGTAAGTGTCTTGATTTGGGCCTTGATAGTCAAGTCTCATTCTGAGGTCTTCTGCCATTGAATATACTTCTGGGGTCCTTTAAGCTCATTGAGCTATTCCAGAGCTCAGCATCATTTAGCCTTTCTCATCTCCTCAATTATCTTGTTGATCACTTCTTTGGCTCAGGTTTTATATACCTAGTTCTTAAGTACTGCCTTTGCTTCTTTTTCATTCTTTACATCCTTGATGGCATGCCAAGTCCATTCAGTGTCAAAGGGCTTAAGTCATCCTATGAGGATCACTCTCTCTGTTCAGCTTATAGGTGGTTGAGTTTTTGGTCTAAGTAATTCTCTCAGTGATCTTATAACAACAGAATGGAGTACAGTTGACTATCTCATAATGCATGATGTCAAAATGCATAATTCTGACTTTGCATACAGATTGGGCTGGAATGCAGTTAGAGAGCAGAAAAATAGGCTAGAAATGCATATCGCATAATGCATATAGTTTTAGTTAGGAATATGCATTGTCAGATCTAAAATTGTAGTAAGCTGATATGATATTGTGTATATATTAGAACAATAAAGAACATAATTTGTTTGTATGGACTATAACAAACATAAAAAAAACTATTGTAAAGTGGTGCAGCCTATATCTCTATAAACATGCCTCCTGAACCAACATGAAAACCATGTGCTAAACCTGGAAATCCATATGAGCATACAAAACAGAAGGAGAAAGTTCCAATGTATACATCATTGGCTCAGCCTCCAAAGCAGATCTCTCACCCACACCTCACAATAGGAGACTGGCTCATAATATTCAAATATGTTGATAACCATCCTTCCCATTGACATGCTGACATTGTGACACATTTCACAAACTGAAAGAAAGGTGCACTGCTCTTTACTCAACCAACTCTTTTATGAAAACTGACATCTCATGCAAAAATCGAATAGCATGCAAATGAGAATTCTAATGCATTATCATCCAAAAAGTCTCACATTGTCATCCAACCTGATGTGAAGCATGCTATTGCATCCTGATATCAGAATATGCAGCTCCAAGATGAGACTGTAACCAGTGCAATGCTGATAGAGAAGTGAAATTGGATTGAAAATCTGATGAATATTCCAGAGGATCAGTGTTTGAAAGGAGAGGGATGGTTGAGGTCATTCTGCAAGGCATGGAAGATTCAGGAGGTTCAGCAGCATGGAGAAGCAGGCTCAGTGGATATGGCAGCAGTGGAAAAAGAACATGTGTGCCTTCACAGCATTATAGTGAAATATGTAATGCAGGACAGATGGAATATTGATGAATCTGGTCTTGTCATCTTTGCCATCCCAGATCATACCTTGGTATCTGGTCCTATAAGTGGATGGAAACAGAACAAGTTCTGTATCACCATGTGTTTTGCTGTGAATGCAGATGGGAGTGAGTGAATGCCAGTTGTTTTCATTGGAAAGTTGAAGCAACTATGGTGTTTCAAAAAAAAGAGTCCAACAATGATAGGATTCTATTATTGGAATAACAAAAAGGCCTGAATGATGAGCAAAATATTTACAGAGTGGGTGAAGATGTTTGATTTAAAGATGAAGAGGGAGATGCAACAGGTTCTGCTGATCTTGGACAACTTTTGAGGGCATTCCATTGCTTATACACCCTATAACACAAAGCTGGAGTTCTTTGAGCCCAACCTGACTCCATATGTCCAGCTGCTAGATGCTGGTATTATCCACTGCTTCAAGGCACATTATCAGAATACCATGTGTATTCATGCATTTGATCTCAATGATCTTGGAGAGTCTGAGATCATCAAGCTTGATCTCCTTGAAGCTATGACTATTGCTTATGATGCTTGGGCAAATGTCAGCAGTGAAATAATAGCAAACTGCTGGAAACACACTGGTATAATGTCTGACAATGCACTTGAATCACAGCCCACCACACCACCCAATGATTTCCAAAATGCCTCACTTCTCAAGTCTGCATGGAACCTTGTTCATGACTTTGTCTCAACAGACAAATACACACTTCCAGGGATCGAACAGACATTGCAGAATCTGCTTGGAAATCAATATGCTGATGCTGACTGGCATTCTGCTCTTATGGCTGTTATGAATGCAGAGAATGATGTTGGTAAAGTACTGGAGGCAGTCAATCAGTTGGCTTCTTCATCACAGTCAAAAATGAACACACCTTCCACTCAAATTGCCCCTATTCAACAGCTCCAGACAGCAGAGATCTGTTAAGCCCAAACTCCATGTGACTACTAACACGTGATAAACAGTTTGGTACCTCGCACTTTGAGTATGTCTGACTGAGTTCACTGATGTGTTAATAGAGGTGTGTGATCAAGGCGTTGCCAGTTGCTCGAGATAGGATGGTAGAGAATAAACTTTAGCTCGAAGCTGAGGTATTACAGTGAGAGCTATGCTATTTAAATACTGTTTCGTTATCGTGCTATAAATAACTGTTCACAAAAGATATTGTCTGCTGTAGAGCTGTTTCCCCTATCATTGCCAGACTCTCCACAAAAGCTGTTGTCTTGCTGCAGAGCTGTAGTCATGCACTGCAATTTAGAGACAAAAGGAGCATTGTCTCTCCCTTCACAGCACACAGCAGCGCTATAGGAGAATGACCGACTGGGCTGCTGAGCTAAGCATTCCCACAGTCCTAAGCGCTGGCCTAAGTGCTTTGATTAAGCCAAGATAGGGGTCATTTCCGAGGAAAAGGAAAGGAAAATAAAAAGAAAAGTGGAAAAATCGTAACAAGATCATGTTGAAGGACCACCTTGTCAAATTGAAATAACAAAATCACATGTTTGGTCCCATTCTAACCATTAAAGAGATGGTTAGCCCTATTGCAGAAAAGTATACTGAAGATCTTGAGACAATGCCAACAGATGAGGAGATTGTTGCTGCTGTCAAGCATGATATTGCAGTAGAAAATGAGGAAATAACTGTCATTGATGATGAGGAGGAGGATGAGGAGGATGAGAAGGATGAGGAAGAACAGACCTTAATAACTACAAGAGAAGGATTTGAGCTTATTCGAAAGCTGGAGGCATTTTATGTTTCACAAGATGACCAGAGTGGATTAGTACTACAGCTGAGGAAGTTGAGAGGAGCATTATTCAAGGAGATGCATGGAAAGCTGACCCAAAAGCCACTGACAGCATTTTGGGGCAATGATGACATTGTCACATATGTCACATGTCACATCACATACTATTTTGGTTCTGCATAAATCTATAAATGCATATGGTTTTGGTGTCTTCCAACCATATGCATTGTGAGATAGTCAACTGTATATTCAAATGTGCAGATAATATAGGTATAGATGTAACTATAGAGATACTATCAGTCTGCTTAGCAGCTGTTTGAGACACACCACTAAGTTTTTTGGCCAATTCAGTGGAATTGCTCACTGGTCAGCCCTATCTTTTATCTTCTCTGTCTTTGTTTCCTTCCTGAGTTCTTCATCTTCCTTCTGCAGTTTGGCAATCTGCACTCTAATGTTTTCTTGAGTATGTTTCTTCTTTGGGCAGTCCCTCAACAGATGTCTCTTCTGGCCACAATTAAAGCATTTTCTCTCCTTCTTTAGCTAATCTATGTTCATCAGCTTGCTCTGGCTGGTATATATAGTGCCAGTTCCAATCTTCTGCATTTCATATGTGGGATGTTGGAGGAGATCAAGGTGCTAGTTTTGACAGTGCTGGTCTGATTGCCTGACTTCATATTCTATAGCTGATAAAGCTTGTGATCACTCTGAAGGTTTGCCTGTTTGGCTTTCTGCCATTGTCATTCCTTATACATTTCAGTAACTCACTCTTTTCATGTATCATATCTCTTTGAGATGTTCATTCTGATGTCTGAGATCATCTTGATGTAGGAGAGAGATGCTCTGTATTTGAGCATCTCAACTATCCTGCCATTATTGGTGATGTCATCTCAGATCTCAGCAAGTTTGCCAAGTCATTCCAACTCATTGAAGTATTTGCTGGCAGGTTTATCTCCTATCTTGTACTCCTTCATCTTGGTCTTGTGTACTTTCTGCATGGCTGGGTCAGTGAACTTATTATAAAGGAGTTGTTTAAACACTGGCCAGAACAGCAGTCAGTAGTGCTGTCTGGTTGTTGATCAGAAGCTGGGGGAAAGCAAAGTCCACCAAAACTTGGCTTTGTCTTTAAGATAGATGAAGGCAAAAGAGACCTGATAGATATCAAAAGAGAAGTATACCAAGTACACTTCAAAGTATTATTCACAATCAATAAGAAATCAGTCAATATTATCTGATGTGCTCTTGAAGAAGCATGGCTTGCAGAGTAAGTTGGGTTTGCAATTGATGATGGTGGCATCTAAGAGTAAGGCCTCTATCAGGTTTGGGTATTTATTAAATGGTGGCTGCCACCATTCAGCTGGTGGACTGGAGAACAAGTAAAGTGAATTATTGTCAGCAACTAGGCTGTTTGAGGGAGATGCTTTCTTTTGCACAATAATTCCATTTTGCATGGTGAATCCAAGTTTCATTTCCTCAGAGTCATCCTTCTCAGAGGCCTTTCTGCTGGGTCTGGCTTTGTCTGATGGTGGTTGTCTTCCAAGGAGTCAGCTCCTCTTGCTGACTCCAGGGTTTTAGAATCTGGTGGATCAGCTAGTCAGCTAGGGTCAGAATTGAGCAAGCCAGCTAGTGGAGCTTCAAATTGAGGATGTTAAGTGTGTATATCATGTTCTAATACTTCAAATAGATGGTGCTATATAAATGGCTCATTTTAGTGCAACTGAAGAGGTCCACAGCATGAGTTTGATCTTGTACTTGGATTCATATGCTGGGAGCTCCCTTAGTTGATCTTCTGGATGGGTCTTATTGTAAATAAAAATGGCCTGTTCAGTCATGGCATACTGTAAAATATCTCTTTTTTCAGTGTCATCTATGATGGCATACTCTTTCTCTAGAGACAACATTAGCCAACTAATATCCCTCTATAAAACCACTGTCTTCTCCTTATACAGCCTTAAATATTCTTTCTCCCATTCTTATTGTATCTCCTCTTCTAATGCTTCTTTATCCATTTCTTCTCTGGCATATTCCATAAATTCTCTCCATTTAAAAGAAATATCCTGCTTTCTCTTCTCATCCTCTCTCTCATTCTTGTCATCTGTCTCTTTCTTGCTGTCCTTGGTGAAAAAGCTGCTGGGTGAGTCATAGATGGATGAGGTGCATGGTCTGATCATCATGAGAGAGCTGGTCTTCATTCCTATTGCTGAGTCCTGCAATATTGGGGTCAGTCTTAGGAGGAGACTGCTTGAGGGGTTGGCTAGCACTGATCTCAACATCTCTTCAGTAGCCATCTTGTGCTCTCTGTTCCTCTAATTTGTGCTGATACTGATGAAAGTTTCAATAAAACCAAGGGTTGAAGAATAATCCTGCAATCCTTCCTCCAAGAAATCACTGGAGACCATAGTCAGGGACATGGATATTGAGAGGGACTTGTAGTCTATAGACATCAAGGATGGATTCAGAGTTCAAGGGAATGGTATCTGTATCATCAATAGTGAGGTTTCTGGAGAGAGAGAGATAAGTGTCTCTCTGAGTAGCCTCACTTGAGGTGATAGCTTCTGTGGATCCTGTCCATGGATCAGTGTCTGCTGGTGTGCTGGGCTCTCAAAAGAGAGAGCCTGAAGTTTCAGTTCAGAGGCCATATCAGATTGGACAGCTGGATCCCCAGGTTGCAGCTTCAAGTTTGTGCTGGTGGTGATGGTACTGCCTGTTGTATCAGGCCTCCTCATACTCATTTTGAGCCTGGGCCACTGTGTGCTTAGCAGTATCACTGGCTCATTCTGTTTCTTTGATTCATTTGTGTGAGCCCCTGTCAGAGCTAAGCTGAGCATGAAGCCTTTCTCCTGTATTGACTCAGACATGAAGTCTGATATCTCACCTTTCTGGTGGGTTCTCATCATTCAACCAGAGATCAGTGGCTCTATGACTACCATAGTTGGTGTGAACAGAGGGAGCCAGGCTTCCTTCTGGAGTTGCATAGAGGGAGTCATGGCTAGAGTCTAGAGATGCATGTCAGAAGCCTGGAGCCACTTTAATGGCATCAAGAGAGTCTTTGGCATGGTCTCCAATTTCATGCTCAGGTGGAGTGGTGGAAGGGTCAGAGGACAGTTCAGCATCAAAGAAGTTGTCAGAGAGATCCTCATCCTTATAGTTCAGGACTGGAGGAAAGAGCACCAGAACCCACAGATTTCTGAACCTAGTGAGCTGAGTGTTACTGTTTCTGCTAGTTATTCATTAGAGTCAGAGAGAGTACTAGTGTCTTTCTTCTTCTTCAATGCCCTACAAATCTGAGCCACTAGGCCTAGCTTTGAGTATAGGTCTGAACATGGGCTGAAAGGAGGCTCAGGGAGAGGTAGAGATATCATAGAGAGGAAGGTCAGGCATAATATTGTATAGGATCTGTTATACTTGCTGGAACACTTGATAGTGCCTGACTATCCAAGTGGTTACTGATTGTCATCCTTAACAAAGTTGGATGATTGCAAGTAAGCTTAGAAGCATTCTAATGATGAAAGCTAAAAGTTTAAAAAAGTTGTTGGTAAGATCAGGGGTTGTTGTATTTGCATGTCAGATAAAAGAGCAGTCACTGTAAAGTCAAAGCCTTAGAACTTTAGCAAATGAATTGAATCTATATTAAAGATGGAGCCAATCTGAGAGTTCAATTTGATCTGACCAGTAAAATAGACTATGCTTAATTACTCAGAAAGAGCAGCTGTGATTGTGGAAACATGTATCTTTGAATAAAAACAATAATATAAGCATGAGGAGCAGTCCAGAAAAGGCTGTTCACAAGCTTTTATTTTAATATATACTCTATTAAGATATAAAGAATAGTCATAAGGCAAACTGATCCTTTATTCAAAATCTGGAAATTGTGAAATAGAAGGAGATAACATATGTTCTAGACCAGAAAATAAACTTCAATGGTCTGTGATATGATGAAATTAGAATGACTGTGAATTTGCTAAGTGATTGAGCAGTAAACTTGAAATAAATCAGCTTGGAAACTCTTACTCATTGAAGCAGAGCCAAATATGTCTGAAAGAAATAGTAGATTATTAGAATATTTAGAATTGAATTGATACTCACATGAAATTAAAATGAATGTTATGTTTGACATGAGATATTCGGTGAGCAAAGATGGAATGGATATTGACATGTGATCGAGTTTGGGACAGGATGGCAAATATGTACAAATAGATAAATCGCTCTTGTATCTGATTCCGACAATGGCTTTCTGGCAAATCCCACCAGAACCTCGCATGTGCAGTCTTTATTATTTTCAGATAGGAAATGTACTGTTTTTGGGCAAACCTAGCATGGGTTTCTGATTATTTTCTGGTTTTTCTTTGGCCAGTAACACATCTTCAGCATTTCTTATTCCCTCTGCGTCTCGAGACCAGACCACGCAATGCCGCAGTCAGCTACATCCCTCGATGCTTCGAAACCTTCCTCCACGGACATCCATTCTGTACAGGAGTCTCTTTAATGCAGTTTTACTCCCTTGGTAAATTAAGTTCGGGCTTCTCGGCATCCCCCTTAAATTCCTCGAACAAAGGTTTTACCCCTTTAGGCCAGGCCTCAGATCTCAAATTGAAAAGCCAATTCTTAAACGAAAAATATATGGTAATCTGGGATATGAAATTTCTATCTAACTAGGCGATTCACGAATGACGCGTACGACAATTTCCATGCTGGCAATGCTGTCTTGCTCAAAGTCAATGGCAACAGCTCTCAATATCATGGCCAATGCTTCCAAAGCTAGACATACCAACAATTGTATCGTGCAGTATTTAACTGAGGGTTCTTGGTGCATTAGCTGCCACATCATACTGTACCTCAGCGTTTTCTCACTCAAAAATGTCCAACCAGCCCAATTCTGACCCCCCTCCCACCGGAGAAAGCCCCGTTGAAATGCGCAGAGATGACGAGCCCAGCCAGACGTGGTGGGATGCAAGGGTAGCGATTCCAGTCTTCGGTGCCGACATCTTCCAGGTCTATGACGCATTCACGGCTCCCCGACAGACACTCAGCATACCATCTGACGTCCATGACAGTATCAACTCAATTGCCCCCTTCCTCCTGAAGTCCATTAATCGGCAAATATGGATGGTCCCAAGCATGGACTACTTTCCAACCTCCGTATCTCATCTAGACATTGATAATGATGCGACCAAGCCTGACTGCGTCGTCCTGTTTGGAAACTGGCGGGGCGACGGCTTGATAATTCCCTTTTATCGCTTCATACTCACAGTGAACTGTGGAAGTATTCCGGTTTCTCGTGGTCCATCCCCACCCGGAGAGCTCCCAGTCATCGTCATACATGTAGACCTCGACATGATATCTCTTTTGAATGTTATCGCCACCATGACGTATTTCTACAACCACGATATGTCGCAGCTCTTTTATGCGGTGCTCGATCATCTATTACCTGGCTTGGACCCCGTTCTTCCCTTTCCTGGTGGCCAGCGTAAAACCTCCGCCTCTCCAATCATCATTGATGATGGCACCTTGGACATCATCGCCAGGATTCTTAGCGAACACCTTGATATGCAGGAGCAGCTTGAGTTACTCAAGATCTATATCGAAGGGTTTTACTATATCCAAATTTCGCTCGACATCACCGACTTGGGCTTCCTGGAGGTGGTCTCTACTGCCCTCGCGATCGTTAACAGAGCTCTCGACTTGAACGAGGTTGATTCGGCCGAATTGGATGACACATTCGGTGTGGACGACGAATACCCAGTTGAACTGGATGATGAAGCCGAATTAACTGATACTGTCGCCTAATAACGAACATATGTTGTTCTTCCTACCATATTTATTTTCCCGACACTGTCGTCGACTTTATCTTGTTCCTTCAATAATATTACATGGCATTTACGCACTCGACACGTGCTTTATTCTTATCATTGTTTAGGCTGGTACACAACTTCCGTAGTATACAATATACATTGAAAATGCAATAATACTCGCATATCGCAATGAGGGAGAATGCTTAATAGTCGTAATCAATCTATTTGGTCCTGGACTTGGTATTTATCTACGTGATACATCTCCGCTGCATCCTCTTAGTCCAAGGACATCGATATCAGAGCCGACCAACTTAACTGAATGGAGCGTCCTTTCTCTCAGTCTCATGATGTCGCTTCTCTATTAGCATTTTTGTATAGCTAATTATCTACTACAACTAAGATGGGGTATTAGTTGTTGCCATACCTGTTTTTTGGGAGGTTCAAATCCCCCTTGAGATCATGTGCATCTTCCTTCAATCCTCTTTTTTTTTTTGGTGGGAGCCATTGCAGAGGCGGTTGTTGTAGAAAAGCAGGAGTAAATGTGTGGTGGTCATGGGACTGTAAAGCTACGTCGACTCGGACACCTAAGAGCCAGTATGTTCTTCGGTCGGGGATTTGGGTTCTACAAAGAAATGGTGGCCCCTTTTGTATTAGCTGTAAATCGAAGCATAAACGTACCCAAAACCCCAGGCTATTCGATGAAGGAGGAGATAAGGATATAGAAGCATCAGAACTAGAAAGCATCGTACGACCCGGAGCCTTCCTGTCCCACCAAATCCATCCCGACTTCTCGGTTGGTCACACGTATGTTGAATACGGGATAAGCACATCGAACGCGGTGCCCTTCAAGTTCATTAGCCAAGGGTTGTCTTTAAATTGAAACGTAAACGCACCAAGGACCAGAACCTGCCCACTGCGAGTATACACAGTTCCTCCTTCCATCACGCTTGGAGTTGGTATGATGGGTCGGCGACATATACCCTGCTTTTCTGGTATCTGGGTCTGGTCAAATGGTCGCATTTCAGTAGGGTCGTTGGGACCCGTTCGCGATCACGTCGCCCGCCAGCGCAAGATGAGTTAGATCGCACAGAAACAGAAACAGGTCCATGGCAGCGTCAGGGCTGTCTTGTGCGGGAGTCCTGGTTTGTTGGTGTACAGGATGAGAGGTGATGTCGGTGTGGGCATCGACCTGGGTGTAAAGCTGTCGCGCACGGTTTACATGCTGGGGTCCATCCCAGCCAAGGTCCGACAGAAGCAAAAGCCTCCGGGTTGTGTGAATGTTTCGTCAAAAGCATCCTTCCTGATGTCGAGGCCAGAACGTTGGGTCCTGTACCATATTGACTTGTGAGCGGGATCGACGCCTGGCCACGGAGCTGGGGAGACTAGATAATTTACTCACGCTATTGCTTTAAAAAAGGTCCCGCGGAAGCAAATCCCATCGTCGGGGCCACCTCAATGTGCGCCAGTTGTGAGGGAACGATGGGGAGGATGGGCTTGAACCAAGCGTAAGTATAGAGCTCTAACGCACGGGGGTCAGTCAATTCGCCAGATAGATAGGTCCCGCGGAAGCAGAAGACTCGATGACGTGTTGGGGCACGAATGATGGGTTGGATTCTATGGAAGCAGCGACGAGGTCTGTGGTATTTGGAGTGAGTAATTATCGGGTTAGCAAATAGGGAGAGTTGGAGAGTGTTGGTAAGGGATGGAAGGTAAGAGAAGGTGGTGACGAGGTAGAACCCCTTGATGTGTGCATCAATGGGGTAGTGGTAACCTGGGTCGTTGCCATTGTGAAAAAAGGGAATATCGACCTGCCGGGGGTTCGATTCCCTCTTAATGCATCAGTGTACTTTTCCATTTGTTTTTTCTGTTGGAGGATAAGTACAATTTCTGTTGCTGGCAGTGCTCCACTGTTCAGATACATCTTACAAGGGAATTGTAGTGGTGTCATATCATTTCTGTATTCATATGTGATAAGTAGTAATAAACAGTGCGAGTGCGAGTGTACAACGAGGATGGAAAGCGAAAACAACAAAGCAATATCAACAGGATAAACGCATATAATCACTGATAACCGGGGATTAGCTCGCCCTTCCTGAGATGGAGACGGCCATCAGTCCAACCCGCGGCTGTCAAATAGACACCCCACGCGGTATGGATGACTTCCCACAAGCCATCATCATCCACGCCCAACGCTATGACATTCTTCCATAGCCCATGGACGGTCGACAAACCCCCGAGAAGCTTGTGCTGCGTGAAATCCTTCGCGAGGGACTCTGCGAGGGCGAGGAGCTGTGCGTGGGTCGACGCGGGGAGTTTCGGAGAGGACGAGAGATGGGCGGTGGTGGGGAAGGGATTGGAATGAAGTGATCCGGGCGGGAGGAGGGGCGCGAGGAGGAGGTCCTGGCGGTGAGTGTACAGGTACTGGCTCAGGAAGGCGTACGTCCCCGGATCAGGCAGGCAGAAAGGGTGCACGGGGATTTCCGGAGCTGGCGGTGACGCTTGGATGGATGCGGGCAGACGCGGGCAGTGCACTGCGAGGACGTCGTGGTGGGCTGGGTGGAGCGTCACCTTGGTCGAGTTGGGCGCAAAGACTCCAAGGAAATACGAGGGGCCCTCGGCAGGTGCGTTGGCGGGGAGAGAGACGGGGAACCTCGCGGGGACGGGTGAGTCTTTGGGCGGGGTGCTCGGTGCGAGGAGGGACAACGTGTAGAAGAGCCGCACGCCGTACTCGGAGATGATCTTGTCCCGTGCAAAGAGGGTGGCCGCATCAGGGAGGGCGTACGTCGGTTGGCTCAGCTTGGACGCGAGCTGGACAGTGATCAAGGCCTCCTTGGATGCGCGATACGTTTTGAGGTCGAGGACTATTTGCCCCGGCTTGGCGACAGCGCGTTTTCGCTTGTGCTGAGGCGCTGAGAGGGCCTTGGCGGCTGCTACGTGTTTGCTAATAGACGAGGGCCGGCGGACTGGGATGTTTTCAACGTCGGAGGTGTTGCGTTTGTCAATCATTGTAGAGTGAGGGTTTTTTCTGGGCAATGTATCATCGTTCTCTCGCATTTATATGCTCCGACTGCTCAACCAATTGCGTTCTACACCAATTCAATTTTCTACCATACATGGTGATAATTGGTCTGTTTGGCATTGTACGTCTTCCATCACTTTACATACCAAGTAATTTTCAAGCAACAATTTGGGCGGTCCCGTGATGTTTCTATTGTGTTTCCTTGCCTAATTGAACGCCTCGTTCCATTTTGCTGTCTCTATATGTCCTTCCGTTTGTCTCTACTTTGCCTCCCATGCTGCGTCCAACTGTAATTTCATATCTACAGCTACGCCACGTCGAGAGCTGCTGGCAGACAATGCATTCAGCTTTCCTTAGATTTACTTCCGCGGAACCTTTTTTTGCGGTGCAGATCCCACAGCCTACTTCCGAAGACATCGGCCCTTTAACAATCAGTGGGTGCAGGGCGTGTTCAACAGCACCATTGTTCTTATCGGACAGCGAAGTTAGCAGGGAATGGAAGGAGATCGGACAGGTAGAGGGTACGTGAACCGTCTACCCTCCCTCCGTACTGTTAACCTTGTACTACCTCTTCAATTCCTCCCCCTCACGATTCGCTTCCGCAGAAGCTTTTCCATGACGTTCTATTCCAGGTAAACCCTATGCCCAGTTCCGTGTCAATCCGACGCCAGCTCCCAACAAGGACCGTTCGCCAGTCTACTAACAATACGCAAACATGCGCCGATTCCAGTAGCCATCCTGCTCTGCCAACATGCCCCATTTCCCACTGCCCCGCTTCAGAATCCCGTCCAACGCCCGCCTCTTCCAACCACTAACATTTCAGGGACGCTACTATTTTTCATCCTCGCAAGAACGTCCCGGACTGGCAGTCTCACAAGCTCCCAGCAAGCGAACCGTTCTCATCTTGGGGATCCCGCCAGAGGAAGCACCAATTGCAATACCCCCCCTCCCCGAACATCGTGCGCTTGCTGACGTTTCAGGAACGCCATGTAGACTATTTTAGGCCTCCCAAGAACGTCTTTTCTTGATGCAGGAGGGCCTCACGAATATCGTGCGCTTGTCGACGTTTCAGGTATTTTAGGCCTCGCGAGAACGTCCTTGCCGTGAAGCGCAGACGGAAGCAGGACGCGCGAGCGAGCTTCTACTATCCTGTCGATATCGCTTTATGATTCCGTCCTCGTCGCATATGTTGTCCGTCCTTGCTTCTATAGATTTAATATATGGATAGTAGAATCAGCACAGTCCTCTCGCGTCCTGAATGTTATGTTATGTTACGTTAACCGGTAAAGTAGGGAGCAGATGACGAACATTGAAAAAAAAAAACCAACAAGTTGTATTCACAATAATGCATCGAGCAAGAATCGAACCCCAAGCAGTTCAATAGATCACAAACCTAATCATATAACCAAGGTTACCACTACACTCTTGAAGCATCTGTTAAAGAGAGAGTTCACTCATCTTCTTCCTTTTGTAGATAGGTAGAAAAGTCTGTATGGCATCTAATACTGACTGAAGTTTTTGAAGCAAAGGATAATGAGAATAATGAGATATATAATGAGTATGAGCAGGATGATGTATAATGGTTAGTAAACTATGATTATAGGCATAAAGCTGATAGTGGTAGTTACACTGTGTAGCCAAAAAGTCTAGTTGGTATTAAAATTTAGCTTGAGACTAGAGTATATCATTGTAAACTACTGTTTTAAATACTATCTAAGAAACTCTACACTCTACAGATGACTATTTATTCTATTACTGTGTCTATCACTTATTGTCTTCATTATAATAATCTTACTATCATATACTCATGCTGTTACTGTTCTACAATACTATTGCTATGGGAATTCTCTCATGAGTTACAGCACTTGTTATAAAAAGGGCATAGGAATGTGCTGGTCAGCATACCAATATCAGCTGTTTATTATGTGTCAATGAGTAAGGCATAGCCATAGTGTCATCATAGCATCATCATCCATAGCTGCACATGGCTGTTGTGAGATTTCTCCATGGCTAAGGTCAGACTCTGATTGAGATTCATTAGGCTATATCAGGCTTCTATGAGTGTTAGTTTATTAAGCATTAGTGATTTGTAAATAAAAGCTAGAGATTATGATTAGAGAGTAAAAATTATAATAAGATTTTGGAAATGCACTCATATAAAATGACAGATGCTCACATTATTAGGTATGGTCTCATAGTAGATAATAGGTCTCTTCACACCTGCATCATTGATGAATGAAATTATGACATCTGATATTTTATTCTGAAGCATATAGATTATATCCTCTTGCAGTATCTGCAATAAGTTTGTCCATCCTATTAGAAGCATAGTCAACTAAAAAGTTTTCAGAGATGTTTAAAAGATTGTTAAGTCTCTGCTACTGATTGAAAGCAGTCATTAGTTAAAGACAATGAACAGGTTGAACATCCCATAACATATGCATCTGCCAGAGGTTTCTATCAGCTATTCAATGAGTGAGGGCACCTCTAAATTGCAGATAGTAACTGCATTGAAAGGCTGTAGATTATAAACAATCTATAAAAAATATCTGTCTTATTTAAAGACCATGAACTGCTTAAAGCAATAAGAATAATTAGAAGACTCATATATTTCCAAAGCAATTTTGTCTTTGACTATGTCTATAATTTCATGATACAGGCCTGAAGGAATAAGAATGTTTTTATAAACCTATAAAATATGTTCTATGACTGTTATGATTTTTCCTCTTATCTTTTTTTCTTATCTTATCAGAGCACCTATCTTATCTTGAGCATCTACCTGTAGGCATAGGAAAGATTAGGTAATCACAACAGCAGACAATATGATTGTACTTAGTCACTTTGCTCTGGAACAATTTCTTATTGTCTATTTCCTGATGACCAGACAGAACAAGTAGCATAGCACAAAATAGTACAATAGACAGTGATTATATTTAGTGTGACTTAAAACAGTATATAAGTAGGATAGCTCTCACTGTAATACTCCAGCTTTGAGCTATAAGTTTATTTCACATTATCTTTTCTTTTGAGTCCAGCTTGTCTTTGACCTTAAAGCATTTGCCTGGAATAACACATTAAAGTGAACTCTAGCATGACTGTATGAACATGATACAGTGCTAGTTTATCATATGTCCAGACTACATGCAAGCTAGGTCTAACAATAATAAGAATAGTCACCAGAGAAAAGAATTCTTCTCTGAATTTCTCTTTCTGCAACTCATTCTAAGTAAATTTAGGCTTCTGCAACATCATGAAATAATGCATAAACTTCTGCTCTTCTGGTCATAAAAAATCCTTAAAGTGATTTTCATCTATAATATTATAATTTTCTCAGATATAATGCTCTGTTGAGGTGAAATATAGTGAATAAACAGATAAGACCAGTATCTCTGCCAGCAGATTCTCTGTAATCTCTTGAATTATCTAAAACTATTCTGATAATGTTGTGAGTACAGGTTTAATACAGTGTTTTATCTTTTTATACTTCTTTTTCTTAGGCTTAGACCTTGAGACCTCAAATATATCTGTGGGCATAAAGTGAGAAGTATTAGCCTGCATGCTGTTCTCTTCAAACAGATCTGTGAATAGAAGATCATAGGGCTGAGAGACATGTTCTAATGTTGAAACTTGAGAGATAAACACAGACAGTGGCATGTCAAAGTATTTGCCAGATCAGATATAATCTACTTGGATAGAGACAAAAGCTGAAATATTAAAAAGAGAGGTATTGTTGCAATGCTTAGCTATAATCCTAGCATTTCTGATATATGGCTGTAACTGATCCAGATCTAAAGTGTGCCTGATTTGATTCTCTGTTACAGCTTCAGTAGAAATAAAATAATTAAATATAGTATAAATAGTTAGTTACTGTTGAGAGTAAAATAGAGAATAGATTATTAGAGAAAAAAGAGATGTCTCCTTCTCATGAGGTGTAGCTACTTATATACAATTTAAACTATAGACAGCATGAATGTGAGCAAGACAATGTAATAGAGTGGCAAAGACATTAAAAGATAAAGACACTAAAAAATAATATGGATAATATAATTGAAGGCCAAGGTCTTTGAGTAAAACAATATGTGCATAATGGTGTGAAATCCTCTACAATAGAGAATATATCTATATAAGCTGATGTGCTATTTGCACTTCTCATAAGTGTGTGTATCTATAGTAAGAAATACATTGGTTGTTTTTTTGACTATGATTGAGAGTTCTAATTTTTTTCAAGTAAAAAATAGGTCTTTACTTAAGAAAAATTTACATATGAGCTGAAAGACAGACACAGCTTGTACATGTGCAGATCCAAGCTCATATGTAGGAATAACTGTTTCTATCACAGTGTTTGAGTCATAGATTATAAGGATCTGTTTTCTGTTGGCATAGTTGTTGATCTTGGTCTCATGAAGCATAGAGAATGATCAACTTAGTAAGACATCATATGTTGTATTTTCTATTATATGCACTTGTAGCAGCACTTTTAAACCCTTAAAGTCAAAAGATACATTTCTGCAGAAACCTAAGAACCATTCTGTTTCTCTATTTGCACTGGTAAGTGTGATCTTAATAGTCATATTCAGAGGTAATCCACACTAGTGCCATATTGCTATAGACATGGCTACTACTTGAAATTCTTCATCTAACATAGACTCTATCTCATGCAACTCATCAATAACTGATATCAAAGCTCTCAGATCTCCTGCTTCATCAGCTACTACAATATGCATATGCTAACCAGTGTGCAGATGTATGATTAGCAGCTGATTATTTCTGACTGCTACTATCTCAGTTTTCTCAATATCCATAGGTACTTTTTGACTAGTGAGAGCCTCTTTCAGCTTGTTACAGATCTCTGAATTTTCTCTACATAACTCCTTGATGGAAATCTCTACTCTAAAGTCCAGTATATGTTTGTAGAGGTTTTTTGTTATCTCTGATTAGACTATAGAAGTGATATGCCAGTATTGCTTCTGATAATCCTTTCTTCCATTGGCTAGCATCTTTGTTTATTTAATGCTTGCATCTCCAGCAGATGCAGCATATCTTTTGAGAGTCTGGTCAGCTACATCTGTTTCCTTCATGAATGATGACACACTCTCAATATATTCACATATGTAATTTTATAAAATATAAAAATACATTAAGTGTATTCAAGTTTATGATATATGCAAAGACCATTATGACTTGCATACAAAGGCTGTTATGACTAGTGCTTAATGAAATAGGATTCAATATTATACTTGGCTTGAGTGACAATTGATGAAGTGCATGACTTAATAGCAAAGCAATATCAGCAGAGTCCTACTGCATATGAAGTCTCAGCATTTGGCACTGAATGCACTGATATCAGCATGAAGATATATACTAAAAATAGAAAGAACACAATCAGAATAATGATTGAAGCTAAGATTAACACTTCACATTACAGTGATCAATGATATATAGACATGTGGTAGGAAAAAGATATACTCTGAATCAGAGGTATAATGCATAGCAATATAAATCTGAATATTTATCCAACCAGCTGAAAGAGATAATACTAGAGCCAAATGGTAGTCAGAAGAGGTAAATCTAGTAGTCTGAAACAAATACTGCATAGGTGTCTATTACTTCAAAAAGATAAAAAAACAAAAAGACTAGTGAGTAGATAGGCTAGCTGAGCTAGCTGATGTCAGATCACTTGAAAACCACAGGCCTAGTTCTGAGCTAAAGCAGAATATATATATATATAACTATACATGCAGTAGAAATGAATACTGCATGACTCTGAGTAGAAGTTTTGTCTGTTAATAATACTATATTAGGTTGTATTAAAGTGTGGCTGTAGAATAGTTAAATACCACAATGTAAAAAGTAATATATAAGTTTCTGACCTCACTGTTACAGTGTAAAAACACAAGAGCCTTGCACTCCAGCTTTCAGAATTAATTTGTAACTTTAAGCAGAAGAATAAACTAGATATTGATATTATCATGAGTGATTTGAGTATGTATAAGACATTGAAAGCTTCTGCAGAACTTTAGTCCAATTTAATAGAAGGTTTTAGACTGCACTTTAGTTTGAGAATAAAAAAGTAATATCTGAAGAGCATTTTTTTGAGTTTTTAAGGTATTTATGATATGAAGCATTATGGGTAGTAGAGGTTCAAACTTTTTGGCTTGATTAGTGCTTA